GATTTTTCATTAAAAGTGTACTGATTTTCCAATCTCTTTCATTTGTAGATGCCTGGAGGTTTAGAAATTGAGCTGATGTAAAACTCTGGGGTGTCTCTTTGAATGATACTAATGTTTGCATGGGAGGGAAAGAACTAGCAACTTTATTCCTTCTTTGGTATCTACACATGGACTTTTGGATACCTAGAACTCATTTCCCATGGAACTTGTATGCATGGTGATTGGTCTACCAGTTACCCCAATGGAACCTGACAAATATATTCCCTCAGGTACTGTCAGTGTACTTTTAGGATATTCCTTTTTTCTCCCAGTATCTTTTCTTCTCTACAAATGTTTCAGCTACTTTTAGGGGGTAATGTGGGATTTATGGACTTGGTTATTATTCACCACTTTATTTTGGGCAAGTAGAGAGCCCAGTTAGTATTTGGGCCATGGCCTATAATGAGAAGAGAACATCTTAAAAGTGAAGTCATGGAACAAGTCTCTTTTTAGATAGGCAGCATAGGAACGTGACTCTTCAATATGAATACTTTAAAAATCAGGTCCTAGTCTACTAACTGTCCATCATCTTCAACACTAATATGTAGTCTTTATCACCACTAGCAAAATTATCATTATTATCTGTATGAGAACTTTGTAGTTCTATTAACAAGAATTTTCGAGCTGACAAATTTTAGTTACAAACCATTTTTTTTTGTCTTTCTACATAAAATGAAACCAATCTGATCCACAATGTTGTCTTTAAATGTTTATCAGTTTGCTTCTTTGCTTTGTAGTGTAGGTATAGCTACACTATACTTTGTAGGTATAGTGTAGCTGGCTGGGACTGCACCTATAGTTCCAGCTACTCAGCCTTCAAAAATAAAGTTGGCCAGGCATGGTGGTACACACCTATACAGTTCCAGCTACTCAGGAGGCTGAGGCGAGAGGATTGCTTGAGCTCAATGAGCCATGATTGTTCCATTGTATGGCAGCCTAGGCAACAAAGCAAAACTCAAAATGTCAATACTGGTTACCTAATGAGATTGAAAGTAATCTTTCCTTTCAGAGAAAGAAATTTCTCTTCTCTGAAATTTAATTTATACCACTCTCCCCCAAAAGGGAGTAATATTTGTAATTTTTTTTGACTTGTAGGTCAAATTCAAAGTCACACCCTACAGGATTTATTTTAATTCAATAGAATACCTCTGTTTTGGCTTTTTTTTTTTAAGCAGCCAAAAATTATAGTATTTAATTGAATGGTTCTATTGTCCATAGTGACTTCTCTGAGTTTTCTGATGGTTAAGTAGACACTGGAAACTTAGTGTAGTTTATATACAACATGAGTTATTTTAAGCTAATTGTAATCATTTGATGAAAATATTACTGAATTGATTTATTCACTAAGCGAATATTTACTATTTACTCTACAGCAGTCACTATTCAAGATATTTGTGATATGTACTAGCCAGACAAAAATCTCTGCTTCTGTGAACCTTGCATTTTAGTGGAGAAAGAAGACAATGAACAAAATAGATAAAACTAATTAAATTATGTAGTCTGTGAGACAGGGATACATGCTTTGGAAAAGGTAGAGTCAGGATTAAGGGGAAGGATATGGGATATGGTGGCTGCAAGGAAGCAGGGAGGTTAGGGTAGGTCTTGTTGAAAAGGTGACATTGAGCAAATGTTAAATGTATATTTCTTAACTAATATTACTGTCATTGCTAAATACAGAATTTATTTGGGGGCTATTGCTATTTTTCTATTATTGAGAACTTTCTGCTTACTACACACTAAACTCTGTATGAATCAGTGTGTGTTGTTGCCTTAGGGGAGGAATATTATAGTTCTAAAAAGTGAAGTAAGCTTATTGATCATTTTAGATTGATTTAATTGTAGTAGTAAAGAGATTTTAATTAAGTTTTTAAAATCTTTAGTTTTGTGGTAAACAAATGGTGCTTCAAATGAATAAAATTATAGTAATTTCACTAGAAATAAAATTTATTTTATTGCAGGAATATAGCAAAATTATGCAGATTATTTAAAAAACAGCCTTTTATTTTCTTTCTCTTCTTTTTTTTTTAACTTTTATTTTAGGTTTGGGAATGCATGTGCAAGTTTGTTACATAAGTAAACTCATGTCATGAGTGTTAGGCAGTGTTAAGAGGGAAATTTATAACACTAAATGCCCACATTAAAAGTAAGAAAGATCTCAAATTAACAATTTAACATCACAGCTGAAAAAAATTAGAGAAGCAAGAACAGATCAACCCAAAGCTAGCAGAAGACAACAAATAATCAAAATCAGATCTAAACTGAAGGAAATTTCTTTTTTCTGAAATTTAGTTTATACCACTCTCCCCAAAAAGGGAGTAATATTTGTACTTTTTTACTTGTAGGTCAAATTCAAAGTCATACCTCACAGGATTTATTTTAATTCAATAGAATACCCCACCTATTTCAAGAAGAAAGCAGAAGATCAAAAGATTATAAATATAAATATTTTTCCATTTTATAGCTAAAGTAGATATACATTCTTCCATATAATCAGTTAGTGTTAAGTTATATAAGGTAAATCTATCAAAGAGCAGTGGCAGTTCATTATCATTGCAACACAAGCTATACATACATTTATTCCTGAAAATATACTTTTAATTGTTAAAAATCAAACCATATCATAAATGTATAATATATAAAATAATGCTTTCATGCATGTCTTATAAAGAATACTTTAGTGCAGCAAAAAATTATTTCCATTTTTATATAAAGCTAAATTTTTTTGCATTGGGTTCTAGAAAGACAATAGAATCGACATTCAAAGGCCTGGCTCTCCTCTCCTGAATTCAGATATTAATCTTTATTGCCAAAAATGCACCTACATTATCTTACTTTTCTCCGTTGAAAAGTTATTCCTACCTCTGAGTTCTGCATTCTAATCAATGGCATCACAATCTACTGCTCCCCAGTTTAGAGCAGTGCAGGCATCTCCCACATTTTTCTTCCTCATCCTCAATGTCTAATTAATAGAAAAGCTCAGTTGCTCAGTTAATCACAAAGCTCACCACTGACCTTCCGGTTGTCCCAAAGGCAGAGCCTACCATATTGCCCCGCTTTAAAGCTTTGTGTTTTCCATAAAATCTACTCTAAACTCCTTTGCATTGGATGAAGAGATATTTATAACCTGGGCAAACCCATAAAATCATTTTATTCCCCACAACAGCTCATCTCTAGCATCTGCATTGGGGAGGTTCCCCGCCCCCCCAAAAAAACCTGCTCTTTACTTAGCTGGGTCTTTGAATTAGTTGTACTCTCTGATTAAAAAGCATCTTCTTCTTTTTACTCTTTTGCATTCACTCATTCATTAATTGATAAAGATAACTACTTATTGAATACCTCCTTTGTGTCAGGCAACTGGAACATGCCAGAATTTAAAGTACTGACAAGGTAGTCACGTCCCTGCATTCATGATTTCGCACTCTTCTGCTTGCACACGGTATCATCTTTCCAAACTCCAGTGTCTTTACCTTATACTTCTTCCCTGCAGTGTTCCCAGATCAAAGTAGTTGCTCCTGTTTCTGAAAGTCTTGGCATCTGTGCCTGTCTTTGTTGTGGTATTTATGTCAGATTTATTTTTTTAAGTCCATTTTCCCTACTAGACTCTGAGCTGCTTACAGTAAGGAGCAGGTCTTTTCAGCAAAAGGCCTGCCTACAATGCCTGGGATGGTACTGATTATCAAATCAATTTGAAGGGTTTTGACTGAAACTTTAGGCCTTATGATAGAAAACTAGGTTTCCAAAGATGACCACAAGTAAGTTACCGAGTGCATATATATTCTTTCTGTTTAGGTGATGCCAATTTTCACAAAGTTTTTAAGGCCCATTTCTAATGTATTATTCTATAATATACCTGGCAGACTGTAAATTTGTTATGTTTTAAAGGAATTACTTCTATCTCTAAAGGAAATATCTTCATAAATATATATGCAATTCCCATCTTTAAAAACCCTTAATATATTCTGTGGTTAATGGCTTAAAACTTAACTGTATTCATTTTCTCTTTACATAGAAATTGGTCTTCCCTGGAAGATTTCTGTAATTAACAAGAGGGTTTTCTTTTTCCTATTGAGCTTCATGTTAATGCATTCCATGGCCAGATGAAGAAATACATGCCCCATTTTCCCATTGCTAATGCCATAGTTACTACAGGACTATTTCTATGCAGGATTTGTTTTACAGGTCTTGGAGTATATTGTTCCCAGTGCAATCTAGTATAGTATGTTTATATTGATTAATTCTGGGGAAATGAATTATATGGGCTAGTTTACAGAGATCTCCTTCCCTCCTCTAATATATGGAATGGCTACAACTCCTCCACCCATATTTGACAGAAGCAACTTATGAATTCTGCATTGAACTTTTTAGTGGTAATAAAAGCACTGAAGATAATGACTTGTAATTACATAAATAAGAGTTGCTCCAAGTTCATAACCTGGAGGAAATGACAATCCTCCTAATGAAAATTAGGCTATTAGGCCAGCAAGATTTTAATAAAAAAATGATTTTAAAAAAACCCCTACCTATTGGGTACTATGCTTATTACCTGCATGAGGAAATAATTTGTATACCAAACCCCCATGACATGCAATTCACCTATATAACAAACCTGTACATGTACCCCTGAAACCAAAATAAAAGTTAAAAACAAGAAAAAGAAGCAATATTCTGAGACTGAAATTATATTTCTTTAAACTACTTTGGCTAACTGCCATTATCCTAATTCTAGTAAAAAGAAAAAATAATGATATTAATTTTCAGAGCCCAAAATGGTTTCTATCCAGATGTTGATTTCTGTCTATTCATGAAAGCTTATCAAACCATTACACCATGCTACTACTTAGTCAAGCAAAATAATTTATAGAGAAGGAAGCAAGTAACAGATTTCAAAATGCATATGTATATATCTGCAGCACTAATATAATTTTGTGTATAATTATTTAGAAAGAATCAATTTTTCATACCATTTCCAACTCCATCTTGCATGAAATTTTTCCTGTATTATTATTGTATCTGAAAAATAAATTGATCCAGTTAGAATTTTATTAAAATATAATTTTGGAAAAATCCTAATCAAAATATCAGTATTCTTTACCCTGGAACTGGTTTTGTTTTCTCTTTCCTCTCATTTGTTTCATGCCCATTAATACTTTCTGCAAAATATAAAAGAAAAACAATTTAAATAAGGGGTTATCATTGGGTTTGCATGTGTGCATATGTGTGTGAATAGGAAGATGGAAGCATTAGCAGAAATTGAAAATAAAAAATTCACTGTGTACTAACATAACATTCATCTTAAAATACTTTATAAGTACAAATATCCTCCCAACACTTTTTCGCTGCATCAGAGCGGTTCATCAAAGCCTGAAATAATCACAGTGAAATTTGATGCTGTATCCAAATAGAATGTAGGAATTACAAATTCCCAATATTATGCACGAAAACCCTTTCAGGGCAGGAAAGAGTAACCTGGAGGTCTATTGATAAAGACATGAGAGAGTGTTCCATCAGTCTGGCTGAGGGATAGAAAAGGCATTCGTATTTTTGCAAGTGAATAGAAATGTAATAATTTAGGTAAAATATTTGTAGAAAATTATTTGTATAGATACTGAGAACTATAGAGAGAACTGTAGAGGGATGAAGGTTAAATTCACATCATGCATGTATGGACAGTTAATTCAAAATATAACTTAGAATTCCTGAGTTTATGTCTAATGCTCTAATGACTAGATCCCAGATTGGCCATATCAACATATGATACCATCAATTTCTAGTCCAGGGTTGGTAGATCCATTGAAGTAAGTCATCTGAGTGGCCTCGACCTCTGCTTCTGCCTTGATGATCTGCTGCACTACAGCCTCTGCCATGGGCATCACCATGGCAGCGGTCGAGGTGTTGCTAAGCCACATAGACAAAAAGGCAGTGCTGCTCATGAACCCCAGCGTCAGCCTGAAACAAGAGAACTGTTAGTGTGGAGCTGTGCTCTTAGCTTAACTAGCACTGTATTATTTAACTGCAAGATGTTTAAGATGTTGTGAGTTGGGAAATTAAGTCTTTCAAAACTTAGAAGGTTAAGATTCTGCCCAGATGACGAACTTGGAGTGCAGGGACAGCCAGTAGAAATCAAAGCTGCACATGTAAAAGTGGAGTTCTTAAGAGATTTGTCTCCCAGGGAACCATACAAATCTTCTCTTCAGAAACAGAAAAATGACCAAACAAACTGCAAGTTGGTTATATGACAAATGAAAGCTTATAATATTACACCAGTATCTGAATACTCTTCACAGGTGACCACTTATCTTCAAGTGCTAGTAAGATGAAAATGCAATCAACTTTTGAATCTAAAGTCCCTTAGTTTTTCTTTCATCTTTTAGCCATAACTCTGTTTGCTCATAAGAGTGTCTGGGAGGCCCAAGGACAAAGAAAGAAATTAATATTTATAAAGCCACTTTTTACTTGTTCACTATACTGGTTCAATACATGTCAGGTGGAGAAAATAGTTAAAGTCATTTGCTGAAATGAGGTTTCTGAATGTTCTGTGTTCATATGATTTATGCTCTCCTGAATCTGATATCCTTTCCTGTTGTCAGGATCTGGATATATTACATTGTTGTCTTTTACAAATAGAGTAGTTATTCTCCTTAAAAATAACATACCTAAGACTACAAAATATTAAGCCAAGTCTATAAACTTTCAAAGTCACACTTGGGAAAAAAAAAACATGATCTCTTTTGAGTAGGTGGCCCTAGAAAATCATTCAGAAGCACATCTTTCTAGATAGAGCCATTTATGAAATAATCTGACATCTTTTAAAACCAATCTACAAGAAGAATGCCACACCGTAAGTTTCAGACTCAGATAAGGTGAATATTTTCAATGTATAAAACAAAATAAAAGAGAATGTACTAGGAATCTGCTTACACAAGAAATGATTCTTCTAAAAAATGAAAATTAAGAACTTTTAATTCTTAAGGCACTATCAAGATAAGAAATCTTCCTCTTAAAAAGGCTGGGATCAGATAAAGCTTCTGTATGGTAAATGCCTTAAATTGAAAAGCCACTTAATGGCATAATGAACAGAACTTCTGCCCACTGTGAAGTGCATCACATCATCCTCTGGAGCAGAGGGTCAGGAGAAAGAGACACATTTGTATAGAACCCTAAAAGGCATGGAGCACCATTTCATTTTAAGAGTAAGATGGTATCTTAAATACATATGTGTTATACAGTTTTTAAATTAAAAAGATAAAAAATTTGTCTCATCTAAGTCATTGATTTTTTTGTATTTAGCAAAACAATTTGCACCATAAATGAAAAACACGAACATGGCTTTGCCCTAGAATGAATTATGCAATACAAGTCAGTCCAATATTCTAATTTTCAGAGAAAAATGAGAAAGGATGAAACACCTAAGGCTTTAAAGCAAAATGCCACTGTGCAAATGATTATGACACTGGACATTTTCTTTAGCTTACATTCATGTTCTTAGCAAGAGGTGAACTAAAACCAAAATAGCCAATTAATTTTATCAGTCAAATGACTGATTTTATTTTCTATAAACAAAATTTCTTAATTGATTGTTTCACTTTGCAACAGTTGGTTTACAAAGAAAAATGTTCACCTTGGAATTTTTCTGCACACATTTGTGTTTTGTCAGTAACGTCTTTGTCTTTCGTTCGTAACATCCTCCCTGATAATAAAGGATGCTCTTGAACAAGTTCTGAATATGTTATCACCCAAATAAACAAGATAGGACGAAAATCTACTCTGAAGTCTATCAATCTCGTCTGTTGAGGTTCAAGGCTTCTCACAGCTTTCACTTCTATGCAGTGAAAGTTGTTGTTTTTATCCTCCTACACCTCAAGTACACATTTTATCACTTTCATATTTGCAGAGGAAAAAAAGTGAAAAGCCAGAGTGTGATACAAAGAATTTCCAGAGTGTGATACAAAGATACATTGCTTGTTTGGTTATTTGCTCTGCACAGAAATGGTCTGTTCAGCAGGTAAACTGGAAGCAGTAAATGCAGTACTTACCATGCCGGATCCACACCAACCATCATCACCATTTTCAGAGCAATTCTCTTGTGCAAATTCCATTTTTCTATGGATGTTGCTAAACAGATAACTCCAATTAGCAGTAGGTGAAAATCTTTGAAATAGGCAGATGCCACCTGAAATAGTAATTAAGCCCATGATTGTTTGCTTTGGTGGGGAAAAATAGCATTGCACAAGAAAAATATTATTATGCTGCTCTTAACTTTGACCTTCAACTGCATAATCTTTCTATTCTGTTGAGAAAAATGTAGATGTGTTTGAATGCAAATCTAGACATGTTCTATATTCTTACCCAGAAATAGTGTTAAGAAAAAATATACAGAAAAAAGAGTATTCAGTGTTATTAAATAGCTGAGTAACATCAGGTAAGTGCCTTCTATGAGTAATATCAGGCAAATATTTTCCATGTCTTGGGAGATACAAGTTGGGACTAATTTATTTATGCATCTATAGAGGAATAGCAATGACTGTGATTTGGGAAAGTTTCCAATTAAGCTCCAACTTACTACTGTCCTCATTATGACCCATTATGCCATAAGCACAGTCACACCTTTATATTTTGAATGATTTTACTTTCAAAATTATTTTTTATAAGGTCAGGCACAGTGGCTCACACCTGTAACCCCAGTACTTTGGGAAGCCAAAGTGAGTGGATCACTTGAGATCAGGAGTTCAAGATCAACCTGGACAACAGGGTGAAACCCCATCTCTACTAAAAATATAAAAAATTAGCCTGGCATGTGGCACATGCTTGGTAATCCCAGCTACTCAGGAGGCTGAGACGGGAGAATTACTTAAACCCGGGAGGGGGAGGTTGCAGTGAGCCAAGATCGTGCCATTGCACTCTAGCCTGCATGACAGAGTGAGACTTTATCTTTCTCTCTCTCTCTCTCTATGTATATATATACACATATATATACGTATATATGTACACAATATATGTGTACATATATACGTATATATATACACACATGCACACACACATATATATGCACATAATGCACACATATATATGAAACAAATATGAGAGTCAACATTTAAGTTATTTTCAGTTAACGCCATTCAGAGATTAGTAAAGGACCTAGAACTTTAAGCAACCATTTGCAACAGTATTTCTCAAAGAATACCCTAAAATATATTAGGTACATGTCTTTTTTTAAAGAGTTATATAGTAGATTAAGTTGAGAAAACAAAATTTTGAAATACTAGAATTTTCTCTCCTATAGGCTTTTGAAAAAAATCTTTAAACAATAGTATATGTTGTCATTTTTTAAAGAGGAGAATATCATAGCCTACATATTTTTCAGATTTACTTAATAATTAAAAACTTGTTTAAGCTTTAGGAGGAGCAATTCATGGGACTGGTATTCAAGAGAACTTACTTTAGGAAACATTTAGCTAAACTGAAATACAAGGCTGTACTGAAAAGAGGATTCTAAGAGTAAATACCTCTTTAAAAAAAATCAAACAATAGCTAATAGAAGGAATGGAAAGGATGGATAAATCTAATGTTACAAAACTACAAGAAGGAAAATTAATTCTTACAATAATTTTGCTGTATTAAATTATATCTGCATTTTTAACATAATTTGCTAAGCTTGTGTTGGTTTCAGTAAAAAGCAAAAATTGATAATTACCCTTGAAATTAAAAGTAGACAAGTGGGAAACTTTTCTGTTTTATAAAATGTTCATTTATGATGTCTTTCAAAGTTTACATCTATCTCTTTACATTTTATGGTGATAGAATAATAGAAAATAATTATATCAATTTCCTTACTATTTTATTTATTAATTACTCATTGAAAAATTATCTGCATGCACCAAATATATTATAGGAGCAGAGAATATACATGAATAAATGCTTGATATATTATTCCCTCTTTTTGCCTCTTCAGTTCCTCAAATACCAGGTCTTTCTAAGTAGGTCCTACTATTTTTCTGTTTCATAGAGCCCTGCATGTTTTTTTCATAGTGTATATATTACATAAATACTGCTTGTTTACCTGCTTATTGTTTTCTGTATTATACCACTCATTTCCATGAAGACCAGGACTCTGTTTTGCTAACCATCACATATTTTGCATCTATCATAGTGCTAGTACACAGTAAGAGAGCTTCATAAACAGCATTGAAAGAATGAGGGAGGAAGGGACAATGAATAAGCTATGGTCTCTGTGCCCTTAAATCCCAGTTGTCTACGCTCTGTCCCCTACCTCCTAGTCTCCTAATGCTTTCAACTCTCACTCTAGGTATAAGAATCTCGATAGATTAAAATACCAGTGCTTCCATATTCAGGAACCTTTGGTTTTTGTCCCTGGTTCTAACTCTGCCCCTGAATCTTTTTTTTTTTTTTTTTTTTGGCTGACTTTGAAAATTTGTTTATTTCGGTCCTCCAAAATGCTGGTATTCCACAGGGTTCTGTCTATAGTCTTCTTGTTTTATACAGCCAATGGCTGAATTTGAAGGATTCAACTTCTGTCTTTATGGGACTAAAATAATTCCTGGCACATACATAGGGGCACTCGACGATCATTTGTTAAATAAATGCTGACTATACCAAGATCTTTACTTCCAGACAGATAAGTCTTTTGAGTTTCAGACTGGTATGTCCAACTGTTCATTCCCATTTGAATTTCCCACAGACATCTACAATTCAACATATCCAAAATGACTTCTCATCTTCTCACTCCCCATCCTTCAAACATGTTCTCCCTTTGCGATTAATGTTAACATCTATCTACTCAGTTGCCCAAGCAGGAACCTAAAATTCCTTTTCCACTTCCAATATGACTCCTATTATTTCTAGGTCCTTCATCTCTTTAAAATTGGTCCCTTTATCTCTGTTTACACATGACTACCTTGATTAAGATCCTCAATATTTCTCATACTGTATGATCGATCTTTTTCTGATCTATCCCATACCATTGTCATAGCCTCTTTTCTAAAGTGTAAATCTGATCACATAATTGGCCTTCTTATACTTGTTCAGTATAGTTTTTAAGACCTTCCCATAGTTTTAAAGACCAAATCCAATATTTTCAACATGTCATAAGAGACCCTTCATCACCTGGTCCCCTTTCACCTCTCCAGTTTAGTTTTCTGCCACTCCACCCTACTTCTTCCTATGTATTTAGTTCCCCAAACACAGAAGTGCTTGAACACTTGCTTGCAATTTAACCTGGAATGACCCTCTCCCCTTGTCTTGGATACTCCTAATCTTCCCTCATGGAAGATGTCAATTCTCCCAAGATATCTTTCCTAAGACCCTAAACTGGATTACATCATATCTCCCTTTTTGTAGCACATCTTTATTTATATATTGATCATTTCTTCACTTATTTATCCTCTTTATTAATGTATTTTGAAAGCAGGATGCATCTTATTGATCATTGTATTTATGGGCTTAGCACATGTCTGGCACAAATTGATACTCAATAGATGTTAAACTTAATAAGTCCCTAGACTTGAGGAGCTCACAAGCTATTAGATGCAAAAAAACAAGTTAACAAAAAGTGCAATAAAGTATTATAGATGCTTGAATGATACTTCTCCAAGATTTAATTGAGATTTTAAAAGTAAGTAGGGTGCCCATTTTTTTCCTAGAAGGATTGGGAAAATTTTCTTACAGGACCTGATCCTTGACTTTATTATTGAAAAATACATAAATATTTTAATTTTCATTTTCCCTTATCTTTTTTGCAGTTTGTCTCATGGAAATAGGCCCTATTGACTGCTGTGGTCTAAATGCTGGTGTCTCCCCCAAAATTCATATGTTGGCACCTAAAAGAAACCAAATATGTTGGCTACAACCTCATGAATGGAATTAATGGTTTTATAAAAGGGACTTGAGAGCACTCCCTTGCCCCTTCCATCATGTGAGGATGCAGCAACAAGATGCCATCTATGGAGCAGAGAGCAAGCCCTTACCATACACTGAATCTGCCAGGGCCTTGATCTTGGACTTCCCAGCCTCCAGAACTGTAAGCAGTAAATATCTATCATTTATTTACCCAGCTTAATGTATTTTGTTATTGCAACCTGAAAGGGCCAAGATACCCTATTTCCCAATACTCTGAGAATTAAATGAAAGAATTAATGCAGAATAACTTAAAAATACAAATAAACACATGGAAGTGAGCCATTATTAGTAAGTGATTAGACACAGAAAGAAGTTCAGGACCATGAGACTCTTGTTGTTATTGATTTGGGTTACATGAGGAGTTAGCATATTGTGGAGGGCCGAGCAGTAAATATTCTAGACACTGTTGGCCATATGGCCTTCACTGTAATTATTCAACTCTGTCATGGCACAAAATAGCCAAAGGCAATAAGCCAATGAATAACTATGGCTTTGTTCTAATAAAAAGTTTATTTTAAAAATTAGGCAGCAGGCTGATTTGGCCTTCAGGCCCACAGTTTGCCAGTTTTCTCAATAGACCATGCAAACAAACTATAGCCTGCAGTCCAAATAAAATTAGTTTTTAAACCTAAGAAAGAAATTTCAGATTCTCTGTTTTTGTTGTAGTACCTAATCTATGGTTGTCACCAGAGTCAGAATATTTGAGGAGAAACATTAGCTCCAGGCAGATGTGTTTGTTTATGGCCTACTTGTCCAGGAAGTAATAGAAGAAGGTCATGTTGGTTTGTAAATTATACTGATACATATAACTATTTTCAAGGCAAAATTGATATGTCAAATAAAAATTCCAATAAAATTGCAAGATCAACATAGTTATATTTCTGTCTCAAAATAGGATTTCATCAAAAAATGTGTACTTTTACGATCAGAGCACCTGAGGTCTCTCTTAGTTATGTAATTGAAAAGCACAGCAACATTTCTTCAAATCAATAAATAGTTGTAAAAGTTAAATATTACCTCACATCAAGTTTGTGAATTAAATGAGATAATATTTTTTAAAAGCTGTTTTGTTCATTATTAGGTTGTTTTGCTAAATCCAATAGTCAATATCTAGTTTTCACATTAACTGACTTAGCAGCAGATTTAACACATAATCATTGCCTCATCTTCAAAACATTTGCTTCACTTGGATTCCAGGATCCCACACTCTCTGGTTCTCCTCCTACCTCAATAACCTTTTCTTCTTAGTCTCTTCGGCTAGTGCTTTCTCTTCTCATTTGCCTCTCAATGTTGTAGCTATGCAGAGGTCAGTTCTTTGTCCTTTTTGCTTTTCTGTCTTCATTCACTCCCTGAGTGATCCATCAAGTCTTAGGGCTTTAAATACCATCTATATGTTGATGAATCTCAGATTTATTTCTGCAGATTAGCTCTTTCCCATGAACTCTGGACTCTTTTGTATTCAACTGCCTATTCAACATCTTCACTTAGCTATCTAACAGGTATTTCAAACTTATCTGTCCAGCACTGAACTCTAGGTGTCAGCTCTTCTCCTAGAGTAAGCCTGCTCTTCCCATTTTCTTCCCATTTCATTTGATAGCAACTCCATTTTCCCAATTGGCAGATAAGCTGTGAGGCATTTTTGACACTTTTCTTCCAATCATATGCCATATCCAATCAATCAGGAAAGTATGACGATTTTACCTTCACATTTTATCAACAGTACATTCAATATCTCTATTACTGCCCTTGGTCTGAATTACCATGGTCTCTCACCTGGATTACAATAACTTACTACCTGGCTCTTTCTGTCTTGTTTCTCAACACAGCAGTCCAAGTTATCCTTTTAAAATCAAAGTTAGGTTGATCATGTAACTTTGTGCTCAAAACTCTTCAGAGGCTCTCATTTCATTCAATGTTAAAATCTTGCAATGGCCTCCTTTGACCCTGCCTGGTCCACTGCCTCATTACATTACATACCTGACCTAATCTTCTATCATTCTCCCCAGTAATTATTCTGTTCCAGTTACAGTGCAGATGTACCTGCAGTAAGGTCTTTGCACTGGGTGTTCCCTCTTCTGCAATACTCATTCCCCAAATGTTCAAATGGCTAACTCCTTCATTTCCTATAAATCTTTATTCAGGTAACACTATCTCAAGGAGGTCTAACCTGACCACCGTATTTAAAACTACCATTCTTTCCAATCCCCATTATCCTGTTACATTTTTTCCATAGCACAAAATTATCTTTCTAGCTCACTATACTGTATAATATTTCTGTTCATCAGATATATTGTTTATTGCCTCCTTTACCCTAGAAAGATAGGACATATTTTGCCTGTTTTTATTCATTGATGTGTTCCCAAATCCCTGACAGAGTACTACTATATAAATATTTATTGAATCACTGAGTAAATACATCTCTCTCTATATTTCCTTACATGTGTATTTTCACATTCATATATGTAAAATTTATATATAAATATTTTTGATGTTAATATTAATACTCATTTTGAAATATCAAATTGAACATACTCTAAATACTTTAGCATTTCAGGTTTAATTCAACAAATATGAGAAAAGTTTATCATTTGTTTATATTCTTCAAATACAGTAATGGGCTCAGCAAAATACCAGTTTTTAGCATTGGCTTAATAAATAGGTAAAGTTATAACTATGGTGGCCAAAAAGAGAGGTGTAGGGCTCTGAACTTAGATGAGGGCATTAATGACATGGGATCCTACTCAGTGACAGATATGAGATTCAGAGATGGTGCAGTGGGCTGACAGTTTAAAACTCTCGCAACAAACTTAACTGTGAATATTAAAACTCATAAGAATGCTTGATACTTAGTTCGTATCATTGTTTGACATACATTATTTGATTGTGACAACAATGGGCAGCATAGCATTATCATATGCCACTTACAGATGATAAAAAAGAGTTATTAAAGGACATGATCAGGGTCATACAAGTAATCAGCGATAAATATCCAATTTTAAACTCAGGCCTTATGACTAACTCTCTAGCTCATTCGTAATAGACTGTACGTTTGGTCAGCTAATTCATTAGCTAATTCAAAAGCTAAGGTACTCTGTTGGAAAAAAGGATCACAAGTCTGAAGAACAGTTTTCTCCACGAAAAGTCCTAAGGACTATGGTTTGCTGCAAGTTCCAGTTAAACTCACAAGGTGAAGAGAATCACATAAAGTTTTAAAACAAACTTAGGCTGAAATGCCATAGGGAAGACAATAGACTCATTTACCTTTGCAACACTCAGAATGTTTCTAGAATGATCTATCCACTTTTGTGAATGTACAACTATTAGCTAACATATATGGAGTACTTACTGTGCAATGGAATTTACATTTATTAACTTATTTAATTCTTAAGTCTCATTGACAAACTAGAGTTAGTTTCAGGAAGAGAAAAGATGGTGGGGTGATGGAGCTGGAAATGGCAGATTTGAGGATGAGAGTTAAGGTCTGTAAACCACTAAGACTCAAGGTGGGAAGAAATAAGGAGGAAATGATATTAGTTTTCAAATTCAATCAATACTGGCATGCAAAAAAGTGAGGCTTATTTATAGAATTAATACATGTTAGAAATAAATTTAATGAGTCGGTGACTGAGTTTCAGATGTGGGCTCAATAAAGCTGAATTACTTATGAGTTACATTTAGTCAAAAATAATATATATCTCTTTGACGGGTATTAGAGGCCCACAATCCAGAAAGCCTTTAAACACTTTTTGAATGATCTGATCTGTAAGAGATATTGGATGGAGTCCCTGTTCTGGGTGAGAGCTGACCAAGAAGAATTCCCTTTCAAGTCTAAGATTCTGACTGTTAAATTAGTCTGGGAATAAATGACTGGTGGGCTAATGTCTGCAGTCGGAGTGATACAAACTGCCATTGGCACCTACAATTTTGCTGCCTTTAGTCAGGCCCTTAGACATCACAAAGAGGCAGAGATATATATTCTTGGCAGCTTCTACAAAGCCAGTTATTCCTAGGAACCCTTTCCTCCTGCTTCCCTCTAAAGTGTGTAAGTCCCTTCCCATAACAGCTTGCCGCAGAAATGCCCCATGAGTCCAGTGAACCTCACTTCTATTTCAGCCTCTTTTTAACAGTCAATTTAGTCAGTTTTATTGTTATTAAGCCATAAGAGAAAAATGTGTAACTTGAACATACATATCTCTGCACACAGAACCATCCAAGCCCATAGAAGAGGGGTTAAGTCATCAACCCCTTCTTTTTCTATTTACCCCCTGTATTGAAAGCCATTAGCATGTTGAAGCATTTAAGAACCTTAACAGATTGGCCAGGCGCGGTGGCTCACGCCTGTAATCCCAGCACTTTGGGAGGCCGAGGCGGGTGGATCACGAGGTCAAGAGATCGAGGCCATCCTGGTCAACATGGTGAAACCCCGTCTCTACTAAAAAGACAAAAAATTAGCTGGGCATGGTGGTGCGTGCCTGTAATCCCAGCTACTCAGGAGGCTGAGGCAGGAGAATTGCCTGAACCCAGGAGGCGGAGGTTGCGGTGAGCCGAGATCGCACCATTGCACTCCAGCCTGGGTAACATGAGTGAAACTCCGTCTCAAAAAAAAAAAAAAAAAAAGAACCTTAACAGATTATAGCTCTCAGATTTCATGGGGCAGCAGAGTCTCAGCCTGGGGGCAAGAGGAACTAAAGTATAGACCTGACCACACTCTTCCAAATCAATGGCCATTAGAAAGAAAAGAGTAGAAGTCAGGTGGGAGGGGCAAATTCAGTAAGAAAAGAGGAGCAGAGAGAATAAGAAAATGCAAAAAGATTGACTGGGGCTCCAAAATCAGGAAGAAGGACATTAAAAGAAAGAAGAGAACAGTTCCTCTCACAGGAAGAAGTGTAATCAAGGGTTAGCTAAAAAGAAAATGAAGGACAGGTAAGCCTCAAGAGAGCAATGTTGGACCCAGACAGAAGACAGAAGTCCAAAGGTGATAAATTGCACTGACTGACATCTCGAACTTAACATCTTTCTTGAGACTGTTTCAGCTATTGTTTAGATAGTTGTTTGCTGGGTGGCTGGAGACTGGTTTCAATGCATTTGAGAAACCAAATCCACTTTCTTCAGATGGGTACTCTTAGATTGTATAGAACTAAGAAACACCTCTTAGCATGAATAAACTCCTCTCAACAAGAACACAGTGGAGATACACATGAAAGTTAGTTTGGCTTTGTCTTTTGAAATGGCAGGTTTTTGGAAAACAGGGAAGCTTTTTCTTCATTAAAAACAAAAATTGTTTTTACAACACTGTGAGACTGAATTCCGCTGAATAGAAAATGCTTATGGAGATGCCAACCAGTTTTCCTGATTTTGAGAGGGAGGCGCCAGGCCTAGATGTTGGTGAGAGAAGAGGGGCCAAGCATTTCTCCTACTGACATGCTTGACTCAAGAACTCACAGCTTATGTTCGTTCTCTGAAGGTGAACACACATGCAGAATGCCAGAGAGGAGAAACAGTTGAAAATTTGGTACCTTACCAACAGGATTAGTGCTCCCTTTAAAAATAACTTTTCTCAATGGAGGTCTCAGTACAAAACAGGGAATCAGATTATGACATTGGCAAGCATTGGCAAGAGGACTTACCTTGTTAGAAGGCATGATCCCAAACATGGGGAACATCAAACTAGGTAGCAAAGCTGTTACCGACAGTGGCAAAGCTTCCGTAAGCCAAAATATGGCAACAACAAAGAGTGTGTAGGCACATTCTGCTTCCTGGAAAGGACAAAGGCAAAGCAAAAGATGATATCATGAGGCTAGAGAAGTCAGCATTCAACACCAACATGTTTGCTTAATAAAGCCATGTCACAGAGAAAGTAAGAAGATCCAAGACCTCTGCATTTTTTAGTTGTCTTCAAATAGTCATTTCTTAGAAGTTCTAAGAAGCAAAATTTAATAAATGTGGGGAACGCTCCCGTGAGAGGCCCCCCTAATGTGTGGGCCTCACCAGATGGTGAGCTTGAGCCCAAACACAGTTTCCTGCTGGAGGCAGTCAAGCTATGGGAAAGAAGGAACTAAGAAATGACTGATGTTGCAAAGGTTTCTACTTCTGACTGCAATGACGCTTGGGCAAGGGTCGTGTCATTTTGTCAGACATTATGTCTCCACTAGGCCTCTGCATGACCTTTACGACTTTGTTTTTTAAGAAGCTTAACCTTATCCGCATGACCGCCTTGAACCCTAGATAATGACTTTATGGCTTAGCTTGTGACTCTTAGGTATTGTTATTTACAAAAGTGTGTTTTGGTAAAAACAGATAAAGCATACCACCTGCCCACTTTTATGATCCTTGAATGTCATGCTTAAGATTGTTTTCATGATCTTATATTTTGTAACTTTCCATTGTTGATTGTGTAAACACCTAAACACCTTTGATCTTAAGGTATATATTGAGACCCTGGACAAAAATAAATTCGCTGTTTAGGCATTGCCTTTTCAGTCCTCCAGACCCCAGCTTTTCTGTCTCTCTTTATTTCCGTACATGCCCTCTTTCAGGTCGGGACCCTCTTGCTGGCCAAGACTCCCCAGCGGATCTTCCATCGCCCACAAATAAACATAAAAAAACTAAAGACAGAAATAAACCCCATTCATCACATTTATTTCACATTTCCCTCAAAATAGATACCATCATCTAGTCCATTTTCTTGCTCATATTAGTGTATATAGATATTTTTTCTGAACTTTATTTGGCCTATAAAATGCATTCCCCCATACTTCCAGAGTACAGAAATAGCCAAGTTACAGCCTTTCCCCTGTGGGCAGGACACCTGCCTTTTAACTGCATTCCTTGGTGCCTGGTTGGGTGGGACCCAAGCACTCCTGCCTTCCTCTCCTAACTAAAAGGGGAAAACCAACCCAGGAGAAATCTTTGAAGTAGTGTGTCTCAGAGGAAAGACATGACAAGTTGTGTGGCATACATGAGCCTGAATGCTACTCTTAATAGAATCTGTTGCTTTGCTCAGTATAAAACTATAGGTTCCTGTTTTAGGGGATTGTTAAGAGGTGGTCAAAATTTATCATTGTATTTGACTTATATAGACAACTTTGATATGAAATCACTTGGAATGTTCTGAGTATTTAATGAAAGTTAGCAGCTATGAAATGGCACTGTTTTGCTCTCACATTGCTTACTCTCTGCAAACTCTGAGTTGCATTTGAAAAATTTACAAGAACTGCTGATTAGGTTGAATGAAGTTATTTATTTAAGCTTTTATTTATGTCTAGCACTGCCGCTCTCTGATTCACCTGCCTCAGGGTGAGTCCATGGGGCTTGGGGTTTACTTGACCAGCATCCCTACACTTCCAGTGGGTTTCTAAGACATCTTTAATAAGCCAGGATTAAGTAATACCTTTATTGTGTTATCTATTTAAAGGAGAAAGAATAAAAGTGTTTTGATGTTGACAGTTTTATATGGAGTCTGCTTCTATCATCTTGACAAACAATAGAACAACAAAACAAAGCTGAGCCTTGACTGGATCTTTCCAAACAGCTCTGGAGAGAATTGGTGAATACTAGCTTAATCTAAAATTCCAGTGTGGAAGAAATGTTGTGCATTTTCTGTTAATGAGAACACATGGATAACCTGAAAGTTTCTTCTTACTACTGTTTTCCATCCTACTTGTAAGAACCTAGGTTGCAGAGATAAAATGGGCACCTTTACATCTTGCTCTCTAGTTACAATCAGCCACTCTCTTGATCCTATTTATTCACAGTCGTTTTATCTCTCAAATCCGCCCCTCTGCCTCCACCCACTTCCTCCACTGCAGGCAAGACTATTCCAATATCAGATCACTTTCCAAGAATCCATTTTGCTTTCGGCACTCCTTTGCATAAGGCTAGATTATGGGTCTAGCCACCCTGACAACTATCTGTAACACCAATCCATAAGGGTCTGCTAAAACATCAAAAATTAAATAGAATACATAGTGTGTGCTAGCTGGTTCTGTTCACCATGTATACCCACTGCCATAAGTGTTGAACATTCATGTCAACATGGGTCTTTGGCTGGAGAGTCATAGTCCATTGAGATGCCACAACTTTGGTGACAGAATTAAAAGCAAAATTTCAAGAATCAAATTATTACCTGGCCCAGACTGCAAGAATCAGTGACTTTTAGTTGTTTATTGAAAAAAACTGAAGAATCTTCATTTTGCATTGAAATCCACCTTCACTTTGACTATAATGTCTTACCACAATACCTCCTGACATCAATTCTCTAACTCCAAAGAGTCTTCTTTACACACTTTCTTGATATTTGAATTTTGACCCTTGCTCCTCATCACACTTCTGAACTCTAATTCATGGTGTTCAGCCAGTTGGTAAACCAGCAGGCCCCCAGATCCTTCATGTGCTAGTTTCTACCTACCTGTGCTCACATTCTTGACCTTTTGGCTGTGTTTGATTATTTGGATATAGCAGTCGCAAGCTGATGGCCAAGTCTAGCAAGGCAATTCTAAGTACTTGATTCACAATGTTTTATGTGTGTGTGTACTTAATCTGAGTTAGGATTTACACACCAGCAGATTTAATGCTAAAAATAAAGTCTGAATTTCTGGCTTCTCTTAACAAACTGAGATATTTGGTAACATCGGGATCATATTCTTCCATGGCAACAGTTATCCAGGGTCTCCTTTAGAGATTGACTTGTATTTTTTCAGTTCTATACAGTCCTACCACATTACTTCATTCATTCTCTTACCTCCCCGGTTTTTGTCAGCATTTGAGTAAAATCTCTGGTAGGGAAAAGGTTGCCTGTTTGCTTCCCCTTTCAAATCTTTCTTCCTCATTCAAGAATCAACACTTAGATTGTGCATTTGGACTTCTCCCCTCTCTGCCCCTCTGGGTGGTACATGAACCAGCAGCTTCAGCATGATCTGGGTACTTGTGAGAAAGGTAGGACATTAAGCCCTTCCCCAGACACACTGAATCAATCAGCATTTTCAAGCTCACAAGGTGGTTCTTATCTAGATAAAACTTTGAGAAGCACTGGGCAGCACCCTTTTCCAGACCTTTCCTTTCATCTTTAAATCTGGGTCTAGAAATTTGCTTCCAAGTAGTTTCCTTTTGCCTAAGCTGGATACCTGGATTTATAACCCATTTGGAAAACTTGTCCATCTTTCGATTTGCATTTCAAATTTATGTCTCATCATGGAGTCTACCCTGAACACTTGTGCATTTTGTATTTTTTCATATGAATCCCAGTGGATTATAATTGCAGCTAGCTAAAGCACCATATCTGCATTGCCCTTGGTAGCTGCCTTCACAGAATTGGTGGAAATTGTCCCCTTTTTCCACATCTAAAGAAAACCAAAGGTCTGGAAAAGGAGGAAGACAAAGTTACTTCCCTCTGAGTGCTCTTTTTTATCCTTATTTTTTTATTGACAAGTAAAATTGTATGTACTATATTTATCATGTCCAATATGATGCTTTAAAGTATCTATGCATTGTAGAATGACTAAGTCTAGCTAATTACCATGTGCATTATCTCACATCATTATCATATTTGTGCTGAGAACACTTTATATCCACTCTTTTTAGCATTTTTCAAAAATACGAAATGTTATTAATTACATTCACCATGTTGCGTGATAGACCTCTCAAGCTTATTCCTCCTATCCTTTTTTTTTTTTTTTTTTTTTCTTATTTTTTTTTTTGGGGTTGCTTTGAAGATCATTATTCAGGATTTTTTTAATCGGAACCCACCTTTCCATTTGGTTTGTTGCTTTCCTCCCCCCTCCAAAAATTTCTCTCCATGTTAACCCTCCCTGACCTCCCCACGCCCTACTGTCCCTCCTTTGCCCCCCCACAGCAGACCCCTGTGTGTTATGCTCCCCTCCCTGTGTCCATGTGTTCTTATTGTCCAACACCCACCTATGAGTGATACCATGCAGTGTTTGATTTTCTGTTCTTCTGTCAGTTTGCTGAGAATGATGGTTTCCAGATTCATCCATGTCCCTATGAAGGACACAAGCTCATTGTTTTTTATGGCTACATAGTATTCCATGGTGTATATGTGCCACATTTTCTTTATCCAGTCTATTGTTGATGGACATTTGGATTGGTTCCAGGTCTTTGCTATTGTAAACAGTGCCGCAATGAACATACCTGTGCATGTGTCCTTATAATAGAATGATTTATAATCCTTTGGGTATATACCCAGTAATAAGATTGCTGGATCAAATGGAATTTCTATTTCTAGGTCCTTGAGGAAGCGCCACACTGTCTTCCACAATGGTTGAACTAGATTACACTCCCACCAACAGTGTAAAAGTGTTCCTATTTCTCTACAACCTCTCCAGCATCTATTGTCTCCAGATTTTTTAATGATTGCCATTCTAACTGGCATGAGGTGGTATCTCAATGTGGTTTTGATTTGCATTTCTCTAATAATCAGCAATGATGAGCATTTTTTCATATGTTTGTTGGCCTCATATATGTCTTCTTTTGAAAATGTCTGTTCATAGCCTTTTCCCACTTTTGAATGGGTTTGTTTGTTTGTTTTGTGTAAATCTGCTTTAGTTCTTTGTAAATTCTGGATATTAGCCCTTTGTCAGATGGGTAGAATGCAAAAATTTTTTCTCGTTCTGTTGGTTGCCAGTTCACTCTAATGATTATTTCTTTTGCTGTACAGAAGCTCTGGAGTTTAATTAGATCCCATTTATCTATTTTGGCTTTTGTTGCCATGCTTTTGGTGTTTTAGTCATGAAGTCCTTGC